TATGACCTGATCTATGAGCAAATCAAGATTGCCTGTTCATAGAGTAGTCAAAATATCCAACACTATGGGTTCAATTACCTAATTCATTCTTTCTGTAAGATAATAAGCTATTATCTTTACATGAAAGAAATATGCCATCCCACAAATGAATTTCAACAGACAGTAATTGCTTCCATGCAAACTAAAGTTTTGTTATACCACTTAAAGAAATAAAATGCAAGATACCACTGGTGTAAGCAGCTTTAACAAAGCATCTCAGTTATTATATCATAAAAAGAAAAATCATACACTTTTTTATAGTATTAAATTCACGTTCTGCTGTCCTGAAGTACATTTGACAGCTTACATTTGGGAGATGACCCTGTGTCAACAACCTCTGGCTTTTCTATTTGAGAGATAGAGAGAGATTAGTCCATAGTCTTTCTCTCCTAAGAAGATTTTTCTCCCCCATGGAAGAAATATAAAAGGCAATTCTGTCCCAAATGTCATCTAGACTTCACAGACGTCTTCTCAATTTTCGGGCCTAACGAATGGCTATTAAAGAACCCCTTGGGCATGACACTGTGAAAAAAGGCAAGGAAAAACTTAACTTTTAAGCTACTCTTTTTGGTCTTAGGAGAACCTCAGACCAAAAAAGAAAGTGATATTCAGAGATGTGGCTACCAGCTTAAGTTCAGCCTTGAAGGATTTGAGTTACTAAAGTTAAGCCTGTGTGCATATTAAAAAGTGCAATTTTCAACTGCCAAAGAAACTACTTAAATTCATACCCGCATTTCACAAAGACATGAAGGACATCACTGTCTGGTAGGGAAAAAAGACCCAGGAGAGAGCACTCCTTGTTGTGCAACTGTTAACATGAAAAACTGTCTTGTGACAAAGCATGACTTCTTCCCATTAATCCTCGAAATACTGCATACAGAAAAAACTGAAGTCTTTCATAGTTCCACTTCCAAAAGAAGACATGGGTGGTTAATCAAAGAGGACTAAAAAGAAAAAAAAAATTTAAAAAGCATACCGTGTGAAACGAGCTGTCCTCTGAAAAGAAAAAGTCATAACTGATTAATCGGATTAAAGTTGAAATGGTGTATATTAAAAAGATAGATCTCCATGACTATACCACTTCATAAAAGACCAAATCTACTATTGGTCTATTTCCCTTCAAAGGAACTTACCTCATGACTGATTCCTCACCATACAAAAATTCCTAGAGAAAATTCTATTACCTTCTTTAGTTGTATTAAATAAAATGCTGTTTTTAACAGTTGGGCATTCATACTTTTTTGGATCAAGTAAATTATACAGAAACTATAAAAAGGATGTGTTGGCAACCAATAATATATTATAACCTTTGCTGGAACAAGAACAGTTGAAATCTGTGACTACATGAATGACATACAGCAAAGAGCATAGAGGCTTCACAACCACAGCTTCTAGATGGAGCACACTGTAGTCTAGGTTAGGGGACACTTCTGCAATCATACCAAGTAAAATATCAATTGATTTAATCTAAATTTTGTTGTCATGAACTTTGAAAAAAAAAAAAAGTTTTTAATGGGGGGGGGGGGCAAATTATAATTTTTTTATTTGGCTTTAACGTTACGTAGATAAATAGATATGCCTTACTAAAACTGGCCATGCATTTTTTGGTAGATGCCTGAAATCAGTCAAAATTGGAGTCATGGGTGGTCCTGCCAACACCACTCATCATGACAGATATCAGTTAAAAAAATGAAAGAGAAAACAGTAGGCCAAACAGTAACTGCAGCCAATCAGCTGCAGTCACTGTTTGGGTATTCTAAAGCCCCATACACATGAATATCAGCCGGTATCGGCCAGTTCAACAGAAACCAGCCAACATTCAGCCCATTGAACGGGCATGCTGGAAAACCAGAATCCGATCGGCATCTGATCAATGCTGGCAGCCAATGGCTGCCAGAGCTGACCAGTGTGTTTTGGTGGGGAAACAGTTCCCCTGTCAGAACACAATATCTCAGCAGGGAGATCGCTGTACTAACATTGCATAGTTAGCCCAGCAAGCTCCTCCTGAGCTCTTCAGTTTTTTTTTTTTTTCAATCAGGCCACTAGGTTGAATGAAAAAAAAACGAATAGTGTGTACCCAGCATAACAGTCATGGGTGCCGACTGTCAGAACACAACAGTCAACAGAGGTAGATTCCTCCATTGATGCTGTTTAACATGGTTGGGAAAATCAATGGGTTTCTCTCATTTAGCCAGCTTGGGCTTACTGAGAGAAATCTTTAGGTGTATAGCCAGCTTTAGGGTCCATTCACATGACTGTTTAAAAAACAAAACAACAGTTGATCTTGTCATGTAAACTAAAGCTGATAAGCACTATTCCTGGTTACAGTGTGTTTAATTAAAGCAGAAATAAACTACAATACACTTAACTACTTTGGGAAATTTGCATTCTAATCAAAAGCAAGACAAGCAATACAATCAAGAAAAGAATTAGTCTATGTTCTTTTATATGTGCATTAGATTTAATGTTTCTACAATTCAGATTTATTTAGAACTTACCCAGCATTTTTAAGTAAATTCTTCATTATCCATTAATTTTTATTTTGTTTAGGTTTATTAGAATGAATACATTTAGTGCATTATTTCCAAGAATATTAAATATACACGCTGAACCCAAGTACGTTTTATAAGGAGGTGAAGAACACAATCTGAATAAAATTAATCTCATTGTAATAAATTAGGCCTAGGAAACTACTGTTTATCATCCCTATCTGAATTTCAGAAGGAAATTGGCAAAACACTCTTGTTCCATTATTGCTTTGCCTGTAGGGTACACACACTATATCATGCATTTAAAGTCACTTTCTCTGAATTTTTAGGCTATCACCTTTTTGTCATTTATATGGCATTCCCTGTAGAGTAAAGCAGCTTTTAGCTTTTTTTAAAGATAAAAGTAGGTCAAGGTTGTAGCCAAATGGATCAATTCCAGATTTAACAACTCTCACACTTGAATTCCTATATCCTTCTTGCAACAAGCTTTAAGCCACAGAATTATACATTACGTAATAACAAGGGGGGGATGAGAAATTAAAAGAAAAAGAGAGAAAATGTGAAGGTCGGGAGTAGAATAGGTGCTTTATAGGAACATATACAAAGACAAATAAATATGAAAATAAAAGAAAAAATTGTGAAATAACAGCAATCAAAGTAGTTCAGGAAATTATTGTAGAAAATGAGATAATTGTTTCCAACATACTGGCAGATTGGCTGTGATTGCTTCACAGAATGCTATTTTGTTTAATCATCGTAGCTGTATTTAAGAAAGAGGACCCCACCAACTTCAAATTTTTTTTTGCTTGTTTTTTATTACTATTATTTTTAATCAGTTGTAATGCTCTGAGTAATACATGCATGTTTTATTTCAATGCCTGCAGTAGAAATATCTTGAGACATAACTGGTTACTAAGAAAAGCAGAAACAAAAGCACAGATCACATACTTACTTTGTGAAAAAATGGTGTTTGAGGGAAAAAAATCTACATATTGCTCACAGCATAACTTTAAATCTTTTGTCTTGAAACAGAAAAATAAAGATTGCCATACTATAGATACGTAGCCAGTGTCAGAAGCTTCATCTTGATATGTCCGTTCACATATAGAAATTGCCACATCTGTGAAATCTGCACTTTTCCACCTATGCTGCATGTCCAGATCATTTATGGGACAATGACAATGTTCAAACAAGGGTGACATACACATTATTTTTCTCTTCCTGCATTTTAGGACTGGCCTATATGATGTTTTGATCTACGTTGTATCTTTTCTGCCTCCTGGGATATTGTTATTTCATAATGTTTGTATTATTTTTTTCTTAGTACAAATTGACTATACTTGTGACTGGACATTATTGTAAAAACAATACTTACAGTCCTGAAGAAGTGGAATGACCCTTGAAACGTGTAGACCAATCTGTACCGCTTTTACTCTCATATAAAAACTTGTCCATTGTTTTTAATATTCATGGTATATATTTTATATGTGAATTCTCTTTGTAAAGAAATGTGATCATATTTAACTATTTAATTTTCTTTATTTGACTCCAGGTGGCATATGTTAGAAAGTCCCACTTGCATATTTCTTTATTTTATTCTATATGGGATGATGCCCTCAGAAGCCTAAATTTACTGTGTTGACCAATGGTATACTCCTCTACCACATAATACTATTCCATACACATGCTGATCTTTTTGAAGGGAAATCATATCAAACTATTGGAATCAAATATATTGGGGTTGATTTACTAAATGTATAGAGGCTGTTCATCTAAAAAAGTGTATGTGCACACATGTTCTCTTTAAAAAGGTAATGTTAGTAAAAAAGTTGAGCTTGATTTTCTAAAGGAGTAAATGTTCACCTAGCAAAGTAACTGATCCCTTAGCTTAGTGAATAAAGTGAAGCTGACTTTACTTTGAATATCTAATTGTAAACAAGAGAACTTAAAGAGCAGGATTTTGCCTTGCACATGGCTGGATGATTGATGTGAACCACTGCACTGTTTGCTAAAACTGGCCATAGATTAAAAAAGCTGGCTATAAATTAAAGGTCAGCAGGGCCTGTCCAAACTTCAATCCATCTATGGCCACTACATCTCCAGAGATGGTCTAATGATCGCCTTCTCTCGAATGGGACTGTTGGAAAATTATCACACGGTCAGCTCATGCAGCCAATGGATCAATGTATTGTGACAGCAGAAGATTCCCTGATGGCAGAATACAAAAGTGCAGTGAGGAGGATTCCTTCATCCACCTCAAATATGTGGAAATCCATTTGTTTTGTTTTTTTTGATCAGTCAGCTTACTGATAAAAAAAAAGGTCTATCTATGGTCAGTTTAACCACTTTAGCCAAATGAAGGCTACAGCACGGTTACCAAGTAGGCCAAATGAAGGCTACAGGTGGGCATCCAGACATCTCCATGATCGCTGTGTCCTGCGGACACAGTTGATCACGTGATGAGGTAAGAGGCCAATTACAGCAGCCTTTTACCATGTGATCAGCTGTGTCCAGTGACACAGCAGATCACGAAGTAAATACAGTTTCCGGTTATCGGTAGCACTTTCCTCACGCTTTCCTCAATGCCATCAGTCAGGGCTGTCAGTCAGTGCCTTCAGTCAGAGCCACCCATCAGTGTCACCCATCAGTGCCACCTACCAATGCCCATCAGTGCAGCATCATCAGCGCCTCCTCATCAATGCCCACCTGTGACACCTCATCAGTGTCACCTCATCAGTGCAGCCTATCAGTGCTCATCAGTGTTGCCTATCCATGCCACCTCATCAGTGCCCATAAGTGCTGCCTATCAGTGCCGCCTCATCAATGAACTTTAGTGAAGGAGAAAAATTACCTATTTTCAAAATGTTATAATTGAAACAAAGAACATTTTTTTTTTTAAATTTTTGCTCTTTTTTTGTTTATAGTGCAAAAAAATAAAACACCCAGTGGCGATTAAATACCACCAAAAGAAAGTTCTATTTGTGTTAAAAAAAGATACAAATTTCATACGGGTACAATGCTGCATGACCGCGCAATTGTTCATTCAAAGTGTGACCATGCTGAAAGCTGAAAATTGGCATGGGCATGAAGGGGGTATAAGTGCCCGGTAGGCAAGTGGTTAAGCTAAATGACTAAGTTTTACATTGATTTACTAAAAGATTAAAGAATATGCTTACCTTTTAACAAAAAAATAATAAATACACATTTCTTAGCAGGTACAAAAATGTGCATTTACTATTTTTTGTTGTAGCCTGGAAAGCATTACACCAGCAATCAGCAGATCACTGGTGCCATTCAAGTCTCCTGCAGACTGTCAGTGTAATCTGTCTGCTCATACAAGCAGGCAATTTTATACTGATTGGAAGAATGAATGAACTACCACGGAGCTCAACAGTGCTGTCGTAGTTCATTGAGAACTACAAGCAGACAGCTGCAAAGGCTGTTGGGACTTGTAGTTTCCCATTCACAGAACTATGAATATATAATGTGGCCAGGTGGGTGGAGACCCGCACTACCGTTTTTTTTCTAAAATTGTGACAGGTAGTGGGGGGGAGAAGATCCCCCGCTAACTGTCACAACAGAGGATCAGGAGGGTGTGGGGTCCAGTCCTACAGTAACATGTTACATGTTATACCATGAATATGAATAGCATCTTACTTATCCTTTAAAGAATTTTCACTTTTCAAACTGAATGTTCACAATGCTAAGTGAAGGATGCTTAATAAAAGTGAAGTTTTGTTCACTGCACTCAACCTAACACATGCAAGCAATATATAGTTTTTTTTTTCTATTGCCCTTGATTGGGTAGATCTTCAATTTGTTTTCTAAGGTAACATTCACTTTGAAAATTCTACTTTTGTAAAAGTAGATAAAATCTTTAGTAAATCTTTGACAACAGAAATGATTGTACTTCCTGAGCCAGTGAGTTAAACAGTAGGCTATGCAAATGGAGCAGTAGAATTACAGGTTTATATGCTGAAAAATGAAACTATCCACTCTTCATAAGGTACTCAAAGTTTAAATGATTTCCATCATTAACTTTGTAGTTTTACAACCAGTGAAATAGTTCTCCTGTAATTTTAAATAAAATAATTAGAGGGTATGCTCCATTAGAAACAGCTTCCCAGCTCTCTTGCCTGCTATGCCTTATATTCAGTTTGCCTGGGGAAATTTACAGGCTCAGAAAGACTTGGTTTTATTAAACAAGGGCTCTGCTATCTGTTCCAGGCCTGCTCTAGAAAGGACATCCCAAAGAAGTTAACAGCAAGCAGTTGTCATGTAAAACGTAGCATGGTAATGAGTTTTCTGAAAATGATCACTTAGTCTGTGACTGGAATTGCTTAATGGGACTGAAAGCATTGGTGGTGGCTAGTTTCGTTCAGACAGAAAGGGTGTCCACAGAGCTGTCCTGACACACATCAAGCTGACTATAATGCAGATAAGCACTCTGTCAAATGTTTACCCTTATGAGATCAACATGGATACCACCGTTTTTCCAGAGAAGAAAAATAAAATCTCTTGCAGTCGGACTCCCCCCACACTGCTTTGGTTAAATACTCTTTTATGCATAGGGTACCAATGAAAACAGACTTCTACTTGCCTAATTCCTTACTCCTGCAGGCTCTCTCCACGCTCTAAGACTGATTTATTTATTTATTTTTTTAGGTACTTATATAGATCCATCAATTTAAGCCATGCTTTACAAGTATATACGGTACATATATATATATATATATATATATATATATATATATATATATATATATAGTACATTCACATCAATCCCTAACCCTCAAGGAGTATACAATCTAAGGTCCCTAACTCATATTCATACATACACATACTAGGGCTAATTTAGACAGGGACCAATTAACCTACCAGCATGTCTTTGGAGTGTGGGAGACAACTGGAGTACCTGGAGAAAACCCACGCAGGCACAGGGAGAATATGCAAACTCCAGGCAGGTGGTGTCATGGTTGGGATTCAAACCTATGACCCTAGTACTGCCAGGTGGAAGTGCTACCCGTTTAGCCACTGTGCTGCCCTCACAGCTTCTTTTTCTAGGGTGCTCCCTTGGCTTCAGGCATTGTAGAATCATCATGAACAATGCAGGGACAACAGCCCTGCATTGTATGTGAGGACACCGAGATACTGCCCACAACCTGAAGTGGAAGGGAGAAGAGTTGAGCACTAGCACTAGTTGGTAGCAGCACAGTGGCTAAATGGTTAATACTTCCACCTGGCAGTACTAGGCTCATTGGTTCAAATCCCAAACATAGCACCACCTGCCTGTAGTTTGCATGTTCTCCCTGTGCCTGCGTGGGTTTCCTTCAGGTAATCCAGTTTCCTCCCACACTCCAAAGACATGCTGGTAGGTTAATTGGATCCTGTTTAAATCAGCCCTAGTATGTATATGTATGAATGTAAGTTAGGAACTTTAGATTGTATGCCCCTCATAGGGACTGATGTGAATGTACAATATATATATATATATATATATGTGTAAAAGCACTGTGTAAATTGACAGAGCTATATAAGTACCTGTAATAGATAAATAATAATAGTTGCCCATGGAGAATGGAATCAGATAAGTATGAGTAATTTTTAATAGTACCCTAAGAATAGACCAGCATTTAACTAATTTAGATTGTGGGGAGCACTACTGAAACTGATTTTTTTTCTCTCTCTCAGGAGTTTCTCCCCTCTTCCTCCAATGTGTATTTATAGGGATAATAAGGACCTGCATACTTTAAACATATAGAAATTCATTCTGAAGGAGCTTGTAGACATTATTATGCTGCATACCAGCTAAAAAATGTAATAGTTGGAGAAATAAACACTAATGTGCAAAAAACATGTGTCAGGCTTTTTTGTGCATAATAATGCATCTGCACCATAGAAATTTATATTTTCCTTCTCTAATTTGCATAAGTCGTAAAGAAAAAAAACCAATAGATTTATGTGCAGAAAAAAATCAGATCAACCCACATGAAAAATATAAAAGCACGTGTATGACACACAAGCAATACCATGCTAGCAAAAACCCACTTGTGCATATTTATAGATCTGGAAGACGAGCACAAAAACTGAAAAAAAATGCCGACTACATCGATTACACATACAAAAAGTTACGCAGAAACAAAGTTATTTTTAAGTCCTCATGCACACTGGACATTTTTATAGCTGCTGTTTTTGGCTTTTGATGTTTTTTTTCTACAGCCAGTAAACTCCCCAGCATGTTATCCTATGTGTCCATGCACACATAGATTGTAATCAATGTTTTTTGGCAGGGACGTTTTTTGGCTGGAAAAAACCCCCAGGACTAGTGGGTTTCTAGAGGAGCTAGCTGTAAAACGCTCTAACCCTGAAAAATGCAGAAAAACACGGTAAAAATCTGCAAACTGGCATTTTTGGACTTTTTTTGACCAAGAAATATTTTTTTTGGGAGGGGGAAACGCTAAAAAATGCAAACACAGAAAAACACAGGGAAACGCTGCTAAACACAGTCAAACACACTAAACGCTAATGCAAAAATTCTAAAAAAAAGCTGAAAAACTCAATTTGTAACGTGACTTTACACAGCTAACGTTACCAGCGTTATCAAAACACCCCGTGTGCATGGAGCCTTAAATTGTCAGGGTCATCAAGGGAAAACAGTGATAGAACAGTGATATACTGTATTTATTTATTTTATTCTAAAAGCTTTTATATCTTCCCCTCTGCATATGTATGCACACACTTTAATTCATTCATATATACGCTACTCAAAAAAGTAAAGGAACACTTTTTAATCAGAGTATAGCATCAAGTCAATTAAACTCCTGGGGTATTGATCTGGTCAGTTAAGTAGCAGAGGGGGGTTGTTAATCAGTTTCAGCTGCTTTGCTGTTAATGAAATTAACAACAGATGCACCAGATGGGCAGCAATGAGACAACCCCCAAAACAGGAATGGTTTTACTGGTGGAGACCACTGACATTTTTTCCCCTACTTATCTTTTCTGACTGTTTTTCACTAGTTTTGCATTTAGGTAGGGTCAGTGTCACTAGTGGTAGCATGAGGCAATACCTGGACCCTACAGTGGTTGCACAAGCAGTCCAACTCCTGGAGGATGGCACCTCAATACGTGTCATTGCCAGAAGGTTTGCTGTGTCTCCCAGCACAGTCTCAAGATCATGGAGGAGATTCCAGGAGACAGGCAGTTATTCTTGGAGAGCTGCACAGGGCTGTAGAAGGTCCTTAACCCTTCAGAAGGACCAGTATCTACTCCTTTGTCCAAGGAGGAACAGGATGAGCACTGTCAGAGCCCTACAAAATGACCTCCAGCAGGCCAATGGTGTGAATGTCTCTGACCATACAATCAGAAACAGACTTCATGAGGGTGGCCTGAGGGCCCAATGTCCTCTAGTGGGCCCTATGCTCACTGCCTCGTACCATAGAGCTCAACTGGCATTTGCCATTGAACACCAGAATTGTCAGGTCCACCGCAGGTGCCCTGTGCTTTTCAAAGATGAGAGCAGGTTCCCCTTGAGCACATGTGACAGATATGAAAGGGTCCGGAGAAGCTGTGGAGAATTTTATGCTGCCTGTAACATCAGCATGACCATTTTGGTGGTGGGTCAGTGATGGTCTTGGGAGGCATATCCATGGAGGGACGCACAGACCTCTACAGGCTAGACAATGGCACCCTGACTGCCATTAGGCATCAGGATGAAATCCTTCGACCCATGTTCAGTCCCTATGCTGATGCAGTGGGTCCTGGGTTCCTCCTGCTGCATGACAAAGTGGCGAGAGTTTGCAGGCAGTTCCTGGAGGATGA